TGCTTTTTGTTACTCCATTATTCTACTTTGTTTTGATTCTGGTTTTGCTCATTCATTCATTATGAAGTCCTGTCTATTAAAAGTCTAATTAGCAAAATTAGTGTGCAGAGGGCTACCTGTAGTTAATCCAGAGTTTCTGCAGCGGATGCCTGGCACTTGCTGGTGGCCAGAGCAAATGGCAATTAATGCTCAAGGAGAGCTGCCTATTGTTTTCAGGCTGGCATTTGAGCAATATCTAAAAACCTTTTCTTTAAGATAAATTAGCAAGGAGTTTTGTAAAGCCTCCTGTTATGTTTGCCACAATTCAGATATTACAAGCTGTGAGCCAGATTGTGCCATTCTTATGTAGGTCAAATAGTACCTTGCCTACAGGGGGGTTGTCTCTTGGGGTGTAACTGAAGGTAAACATAAAATGCACTGTCTGGTCTGCCCCGTGCAGGATAAGGACACGTCATGCACCCTTTCTAACCCATGATGCAAATGTATTTTAAATGTCTTATTAATACTGTCTCTCAGTTGAGGAAGTTTACACTGCTATGGGTCCACAACCTGTATTGTTTAGGTTCTTTTCCTGGTTTTGTTGTGTTGTGTTTTTTTTTTTTTTTTTTTTTTTTTTTTTGGGGGGGGGGGGGGTTTGTTTGTTTGTTTCCCATTGGGTATATGATACCTGCAAATCTACAAGGGAAAAGAACAGGCAAAAATTCTCATCTGTGAAATCCTGCTCTTTGTCCACTCTGGTAAGGAATTCCTCCTGTCATAAAACCCACTCTTTTTCTAGCTAGGCCATATTTATTACTTTTTGTAGCTTAACAGATTTCTGTAGTTAGAGCATCACTGCACAGTGGGTTTAGGCCACCATTTCCTGAGTCTTGTGTAGCCATTCATTTCCCTGGTGCTTAAAGAAAGCTCTTATTGGCAAAAAAAAGACAAATGGTGATTTGGTAGCCTTTAACAGTTGCTCTGCAGAAATGTAAATGGCATGGAGACAAACAAGGAAAATCAGCTCCCATGTTTTTCATTGAGAAGAACACTTATGGTTCTTAACAAAGAGAAGGAAACCTGCTTATGAGAGGACAAAAAATTCTTTATCTAGAAAACCATTCTTGCTCTCAGCTCCCAGCACATGCCCTGAAAATGTCAGTCACAGGCAACTCTGCAAATTTAACATCAAAATATTTCAGTTCCATTTTCAGGTAATACAATTTGTGACTAATTTAATTTCAGATGTATCTTCCTTAGTTTTATTCAGGTGTTGATTTCTTGAGGAGAATCTTCACTTCCTGACTTTATTTCTTCAGTGATATTTTGTGCAGCTGCTTTTTTGTGCAGTGATAATGTGTGAGTTTCTTCTAAAATGCAGGATGAAGAAATACTTCCCTTGCCTTAAGGGCTCTTGCCCTAAAGGATTTTACCTTAGCTGGTATCTCAAATGATGGTTAGCTGCAGGTTTCACTCACTACAAGCTGGGGAGCAACACTCAGATTTTGATCCTTTCAATATATTTTTTTTTACTGCTTCTCCTCGGAGACTATTTTTTTAAAAACCCTGCAATAACAGCAGCTCTCAAACCAAAGAGAAAGTCTTTTCCCTTATCCACATACTGCTTCATACTAAATCTGTTACTAGCACATCCTTGCTTCCCCCTCTCTGCAATGCCTCCAGGATGATCGGCTTTGTGATTAATTGCAAAAAGAGCAGTCTCTCCTCACCTCAGTATATAAGAGTGAAAAATAGGCTCAATGTGAAAGATGCTTCTGAAACAGAGGTTTGGGTTTTCTTCTCTCCAAACCTATTGCAGACATTCTACAAGAAAGGAGACAGCTGGGATTTTACTGCGCGCACACGAGCACTGTTTGTATTGTTTTCATTTCTAGGTGTTGTATCATACATAAACCAAAATGGTTATGAGGTGACAGGCTGACACCTAATCTGGCTTCCTCAGAAAATGAGGTCTGCACAATAAGCAGCAGAATCACTGCCTGCCATCTTCCCATAAATTTGAATCTACTTCTCAGGTTTGATTAAGCTTATAAAAGCTTAATGAAACTAGGCAGCTGGGTAAAGAGGATAACTGTGTTTTCCCAGAGAGGGCAAGGAGGAGCCGGTCGGTATGGTGTACCAGGGAATCCACGTGGGGCAGAGCTCTTGTTAGGGTTCAGAAGCAGGAGAGGCTTCGGTCGGCGCCTGCCACCAGAGAAGCCAGCTGCAAGACACAACGCCGTGGGGAGGCAGGGTTCATTCCTGCCCTCTGAATGGCTCTGCTCCACTCTGCAGCTGGAGCGTAACCGCTGCGAGGGGGTGAGGGGCAGGGCCTCAGGCACGGCTCCACCTCGGCTCCTGCGGACACCCGCTCCCACGGGAGGGTCAAGTTCCGCACACGATGGGCTGGTCCCCGTGGGCTTCTGTTCCAGGGGAGAGGCTGGCGGTGAGGCACGGCCAGTGCTTCCTTTGACAGTCAGACTAGATGGTGATCTGTAAAAACTGCACTTAAAAAAAAAAAAAAAATTAGTTCCCTGGCTTCTTCCATTTCTCTGAACACGAGGATTCACTTAGGCAGAAGGGCAATTCTTTAATTCACAGGGAGAGGACACACTGCAAGCACTTCTCACGCAGATGCAATCCTGGAAGCTTCTGGTGTGCTGTGAGGACACTATTTAATCTTTACCTTTAATGGAAGGGATAAAGTGGAATAGTAATAATGAGACTGATAAATGAAAGGGAAACTGTAACCACATAATTATGTCAGCATCAACTAAGAGCCATGGGGAACCGATTAAACCACATTATGCAGATAGATGTAACAGAATACTATTAGTAAGTCCTTTGCAGTGGCACGCCTGGCAATTAAAAGAGCGGTGTTGGCAGCACGTGGTGAAAACAGTGATCATGGATAGTTAAAAATGTTTGAAGACAAACAGTGTGTGGAGTGCAGGGACAGCCTAGAACTGAATAGAGAAGCATCCTCAAAGCCACCAGCACCCAGGAGAAAAAAACAAAGATGTTATTCCAAATAGACTGTAGGACCAGGATGTTTGCTGTAGCTTGGAGTAATTTCTGTTTATTGTCAAAATGAATTTACTGCCTTACCCATAAATGAAAGGCTGTGGCCCAGCAAGAAGCCTGTATTTTCCAACTGTCCACAAACTTCGGGTTGTGCAGGCTAATGGAGGC